TCAGAAGGTACATAGAACAAAACCAAGAGCACTACTGAGGTCAACGGAAGGAGGCCCGGAACCGTCTGACGCTTGGTACCACAACCGGTTCTGCGATCCTTGCACCATGACCAACCCTTTGAGACGACCAGTCCCCGGTCCCTGCCTTCCCTGCTCCCCCGAGCGGCTGAATTCAAGTGCCGCGTCAAGCCGTCTTTGACGATGCGGCCGTTGCGGATCCGTTTCAGGCGTCCTCGGCGTGCCCCGACAGTCTGCCGGTGAAGGGCTGCCGGGCTGGCCGTGATGTGGCCGTTCTGTGGCCATGTGCTGAAACTCAGGTACGCCGATGTGCTGAAAGTCATATGTTTTGGCAGTCTGCAAGGGTCCTGGTCACTGGTAATCCACCAACATGATCTTTCCAAGTTCTCAAATTGTTGGGTCTCAAAGTATTTGGGAACCTCCAATGACCTCCAAACATCTGCCTAAACAGCCGCTGTTTACATAGAAATTTCTTGGTGAACTCATAAACTCATGGGCCATCTTTGCCATTCAAGAACAGCTATCGCTATATTATGATACCTTATGTTTTGTGTGACCTGTTTTTAAGTACGTGCTACCTTGCACTTTGAACACAACAGTTAACAAAAAACACGTCCCACGGAGTCCCACGTCCTCCACCCCTCTCAACCAAAAACATCCACGCATTGACCTCCCCATGTTGCGTCATGTTGCGGTACTCCATGGCACAGAAGGCCACCAGGACGCCTTCCAGGTCACCATGACTGGGACCCTCGGAACCGCAGCTCTCGGAACCTCGGAACCGCTCAGCAAACGTAGGTGATGCGGTGCCCAAGCAGTGCCCGAACAAAAGACCAAACCAAACTCAGGTTCTTCCTATCAACCACTTGGCGTAACTCCCCATCCAGAAACGGATTCCCATGTCATCCCATGTCAATCATGTTTTGGATATCAATTGCAAAGTCAGTAAGGCGGAATCACCGGTCGAATAGAACATTAGAGGACACCTCGAGAAAGGAGGGACATGTCCTCACAATCCATATTTACATGTGATATGTTCATGTGTTTTCCCTATTGTTCCTTCTGCGTACCGTTAATAAACAGTATAAATATTGTATAATAAATCAATATAATATATACATATATATCACTACTACCTTACCCCCGGGGGTGGGTCAAGAATGTAATTTACAATTTCGGGTGTGTCAACATGCAGATTTTGGAAAACGGTGAAATTTGAACATACAGGTCTGACATACCTCCATCTCACAAGACAGGGGTCAAATTGTAAGTTACATTTTTGACCCTCGTGTGTGTTCGTTCGGCCTGCACGCACTCAAAACTTGTAAGTTACATTTTGGAGGGTGAGGTAGAAGCATGGACCCTCACCCTCAAAATTGTAACTTACAATTTCCCTTTCGGTTGATCACAAGTTTGCACTGTGCCGCATTTTCCCTTGGAAGTGTTGGCACGTAGCGGCTGCGCCCGAAGATTCTGGCCAGTGGGAAAGGCAGTCTAATTGTAATATTTCCTGCTGGGTACCCTAGAGTGCGTGCTGCGTGGGGTTTTCCTGGGCTGTGCCTGCCTCAACATTTATGGGAGGACCTTACCAGTGCGGAAGGGGGGGAACTAATTGTAATAAGGCTTTCTGGCTGCGCTATGGTACACCCTGCGCAGTGTTGTCCTTTCATGTGCTGGCTTCAACATTTCTCTTACGAGCTTCAATAGTCGGAGAAGAAGGTTGTAATTGTGATATGGACTTGTGGGCGCACTAAAATACATTCCGTGTAGTATTTTTCCCAGGTTACAGTGGCCTTAAACATATCTGGAAGAGAGAGGGGCTTCAGAGCTTTACCAGATACATGTTGCTTTAGAGGTATAGTTGTAAGGTTGCCATTTGTTTGCACTATACAGTGTGTGTTGCGCATGTTTTTTGTGGAAAGCATGGCTCCAACAATTTCAGAAGTACAGGTCGTTTAAGGATGTCTAGGGTAGAATTGTAATCTACAGTGGCAGGGACACCATGCTTAGACAAGAGCATCGAGTCCTCCGCTTTATCTCCCTTTCCCTTTCGGTTGTTCTAACTTTCGGTTGATCTCGGTTGAGCCATTGTGCTGCACGAAAGCAAAGCGAGAATCTCCGGATTAAGTTCAATCTTGAGCTCAAGATGCCCAAGCTCATGTTCCAAAGGCATGTGGAAACTGTCGAAGCAGAGAGGTTCAAAGCTATTACAAAACACACTCGTAAAACGCCGACAAGGGGGGGGAATTGTAATTTGCTCTGTGTGGTACCCACCCAAAGATTCTTACAATTCCCCTCCCCCCCCCCCTTTCAAAGTCTCCAGAAGTAGGACAAGACCTCTTTGAGGGGGGGGTCAAAAAAAGTAACATCCTCACATAGGCTACTGTACCTCAACCCTAGATCTTACAATTTTCACCCCCCCCCCCAAAGGCTATATAATGCTATTGTTGTGAAATCAAAAAATGTAAGTTACAATTTTGACCCCCCGGGGGGGTCAAGCACCGCAAGGGGGTGGTGATATACATATATATATATATTATATGATAATACATGCCTATAACATGCATATATAAATACGCATAAATTACACAATACACACATCAATACAATCTTCTTCTCCGGGGACCCAAAGAGACTTCCACGCCGCCCGAGGAGCCGTCGGAAAAGTCGCTCCCTTCCTCGGTTCACCAATGGGAGACAATCATATGAGACCATCGATTCACACAGTGAGGGCAATTGTATATACATGTCATTACATGTCTGTATAATCAATCGGTCTGCATCCACAAAGAGTAGTAGCTGACCTCTTTGCATATTCTGAACATCTCCGTGATTTCTCACTGCCAAGCTTGCTCCCCTTGGACGAGGATCTGTTGTGGTGTGTCCCACCACACTGGGGTTCTCTTCGTCGCTCCCCATGGCATATCGGCACGAGCGGACTGGTCGGAGATGACGCCAAAGAGGGGACGGGCGACCGTGGAGTTGTGGGGAGTGGGGAGTGGGATGAGGTGTTGTTTCGGGGTGTGAATGTGTGCAAGGCTGAAATGGAATTGTTTTGGTAGTTTATCCACCAGGGATCAGGTCCAGCATCCCAATTCTAGCGGTTGGAAGGTCCTAGTGGTCCTAGTGCATGTTGGCATGTTGCATGTTTACTCTCAGTCTTTGTAGCTCATTATTCCTGGGCAAAACAAGCATTTCTTTTGCGTGACCACACTCTTTTCCTTCCAGCTTATGCAGCTTGCCATGCATTGGATTTCTTTTTTCAGGCACACTGACACTTTTTCACCGGCTGCTAGCCTTCTGATTCTGACCTCAATTTGACCTCAATCATCCCTTCAGAAAGGCTTCACATGTGAGTCGACATCAAAGCTGAGGGTGGCGTTCAAGCAGTCGATCCAGCGAGATCCGGCGAGTTCCACCTTTGGAGCTGGGAACACTGATTCTCCCTAGTCTGGGCAACTGGGCATTTTCAGTTAATCTGAGAGGGTTGAAGGATCAATTGTTCTTTTTGTTAGTCTCGCTAGTTGTTCCAAAATACCGGAAACTGGATGAGCAATTCACCAATGAAGCTCAATATGGATTTGGTTGATCAGGGAAGCCAAGGGAAGGAACTCGATCCTGGAGCAGCACAATAGTGAATAGTGATCACGACCCAAGGTTCCCCAAAGAAAATCCGTAGAAGCCAAAGCCGGCTTGTTGTTTGAAGTTCTAGTTGTTCTGAGGTTGAACTCGCTGTATGTGTTCCTTGACTAAACCACTAAACCGCCCCAGTTTGACTCGAACCCTCTCATGACATTCGAACCTGGCAACCCCTACAGCTCCTTGAACGTCCTGGCCTTGGAAGTCCAACGGAACGAGGGGTAGACCTACTAAGGATGGCAAGGTATGCGCGACTTAACCCACAATATGGAATATGCATGACTATGATTGACTATGCAGTCAAAGAACAAGCTCCAAACCTCCAAACTCGGCATGGAGGATCTCAACGTTCCGACCTCCACCTGCGGATCAAGTCCCACCGTCCAACAGTTACTTTCGGTCATACCCTGGAGTCAAACAAATGCCAATCATCCGACACACAAACAAAAAAAACACACACAAAAAAAAAAAACAGAAGAAAACAGAAACAAGTGACCACTTTGATTGTTTTTGTTGGATTCCCCTTTATCGAATTCCTCCAGAAGGATGAAAACAAGCTGCTTTCACCCAACTCTGTGATCATTGCACTTCTACACCCCCCGAAAACGTTCGCAACCTTCCCAGCTTTGCACCTCCTCTTCAACTTCCATCCCTTCCTCCGGCTCCTCCTCAACTGCCTGCCACAGGTTCCCGGAGAACGCAAATTATGGAGGAACCAAGAGTGGAACCCAACCACCCAATCTGGCTGGATTACTGGGTGATTTCAGAATGTCTATTAGGGAAACATCAAGAAAGCGACTCTTGATTTGGACCCATGAAGGCGCTCAAATGTGGAATCTCTTGGGGTAGTGCTGACGGTGTGACGTGATCTATGCTTCCTGGCTCTCGGTACCACTTCGGGCCAGCATTCCGCCGAGTCTTTCAAACACATGTCTGATGCCCATGACCAGCTCAGGAAGTTTTCTCTGACACGTCTTCCATTGTCTGGCAACAGAGTACAAAGTGCCGTGGATGAACCAAAGCATCACTTTACACTCAAAAACTATTAGTCAGTGGGTTCAATCATCTCAAGCAAAGGTTGATAATGAAACCAGCTGAAACCACCACCCAGTATTTGTTTGCAGTTTATCTCATTGGAAACAGCAGAAATGTCATCTGCCCCGCCTAATCTCCTGAAGCCTAACACCATAACACCAGCACCAAGTCGTCCGGGAACTTTGGGAGTGGTGGCCAGCAGCGGCAAGCCAGAAACATCGAGGTTATTGCTAGTCTCTCACCCCAAGACGTCCCTCCAACCTGTCATCAGCAAGCGAGGTGATGCCTTAAAACCACGGTGCCAAGCCTCAGCAGCTGCAGGCCTCTTCAGCACAGCAGGCTCTTCTGGAGGCTCCTTGGAGGACTCCCCAGCAAACGATTTTGGGTTGGTTTTCAGGGATGTTTCAGTGATCGCCCATCACTGCTATGCTGCGGCTGCGACACCTAGTTTTTGAGGTTGGGCAGCACACCACTCCGAAGGCAAAGGGCCGGTGTGCGCTATTAGTTACGTATTAGTCTGGCAAACCCATACATACAAACGGCCGCTCTCATTTGGAGGTCAATGCAGTCAAGGAAATGCACATGAGGGAGAACATCAAGCTGTGATGGCGGTTAAGGCAAATGCATCCGAAATGCGTCTGTTCCACTTCCATGTTAGCAAGCGGAAAGAAATCGAAAGCCGGAACGAAGCTCCTCCTCTTCGTGCACCACCGGATCTACGGCCTTCGCCTTGGCCTTCGCTCGGCCTCGAACGCGCTTTGGCCCGCAGCACGGGCGCGGAGCTTTGGCAGAATGACATAGTCCTCCCAAGATGTTCTGCTATGCCCAGATCTTCCAAATATGCAACACATCAGCCTTTGATAGATGAAAAAGGCAAAGACTTTGCCTTGGATGATGATCGAGGTATGTTGTATCCCTTGGAATTTTGATGGCTTCAGGAACTCCTATTCAGAGACAAAGCCATGAGATGAATCTGCAAGGGCCATTGCGATGCCAGGCCAATGGCCACAAACCATGCCGATGTTTCAGCTCATCGGCCTCGTGCTACACACTCCATGGACCCAATATATATATATATATTATATATATACACATATCCTGTATATATTAATGGCAATAAGTCCAAACCGAGAGACCTTGGCTGACCACGGAAAACAAATAGAACGGAATGACAAGGAGGTCAAATGAGGTCAACCTACCAGGATGTTCGGTGGATTTTCGGTTTGGTTCCACCGAAAAAGCAACAGCTGCCATTGGTGGTCGCTTCTACTCCAGGACAATGGGGTGACTGGATGACTGGATGGATCAGCTCCAACTCTTCCATGTGTTCTAGATGTTTGAGTCAACAGCATGTGTGTAGTGTCTTATAATATAGTGGGTCTCCTTCTCACCTACCCCCTGGAATAGTTTACAACTGTAACAACAGTGCAACTGCATGTGAGACGGATGGAGGCATAATGAGAAATATAGGAGTGTCGCTCAGTTGTTGGCATAACTCCTTGCGTCTTGATGTCAAAATAGAAGATAGATTCTACCTATAACTTGACCTACTACCTGGTCATATCACTATTCGCTAGTTATCTCAAAACAAGAGAGTTTTGGTGACACAACCGACAGAATACGCATATTTAGGCCGCAACACATGACAAAATGGATGCGCAACCTTGCATGGATGTGGGCTTCGCATTGTCAGAATTGACAAATACTGGAGCCTTGGACTCCGTTTGATGCATCCTTTCATCATCTTTGATCTTCTCAATAGTTCTCTACTATACATCTACATCAGCTCTTGTCAGCTCTTGTACCCAGCTCCTTTCATACTCTACCCAGAAACCATCTCTACACCGAAACCTCTCGGTGTTTTGACGAGTCACCTGCAGGCTTCTTTCTCACATCCTGCATGTCCGATGGGCGAAGTCCGAAGAGGCGGCATTGCCAGGAGAGCAAAACCAAGCGAGCATCATTTGACGAAATCATATTATTGAATCAAAGAACGCGGGACAGTATAGGAGTCAGCCTTAAAACAAAAAACACAAACAAACTGTTACTCCAGGGATGCTTTTAGAATCCTATTTGGGGAGGATCTTAACATCAGCAATAGTCCGATCTGCAGTCCAATTCCAAGCTACGAGGTGGTGATGATCTCCCAACTTGGAAAGAACCGACTTCACGGTTTTTAAAACACAACGAAACGAGTGAGATGAGGAGGAATCCTCATCTCATGTCATGGATGGCCTATTCGAACAGAAACCTCATGAAGCCATCGATGCTGGGAGTCTGCAGACTTAGTTCGATCACAATTGGATCACGACTCCGTTCCCAGAATCTGCTGATCACGGGAAACAGGTTGCCAGAACCATTAAATCTATTGGATCACTTATGGATCAGACTTATGAATCTGTCTGGTTGATCGAATAGACCCTCTCTCCCGTCCCCAGCAACTTCTTTCGCCGGCCCCCCAAAATGGCCGCCTCCACAGGCGCCTCGGTCACGAGTCACGGGCAAATGACGTGTGGCGCACGACGTGTGTCGCATGACGTGTGTCGGATGCCTGAAAATCGTTTTCGGGAAGCTAGCCTGAGAAACACTGCGCAGTATAGGCTGGAAATGGCTGGAATATGTATTTTTGCCTCCATGGGGTTCATTCGACAGAATTTCTGGACCAAGGTTCAAGGTTCGTCCGAGAAAGAGTCTCTATAACTGTCAATGCGGGTGATTCATCTTGCTTTTTGCTGGTAGGCCAGGCAGTCGTAATGACACTATTCCCTTATTCCCTTTCTATAGTGAAATTCAGTTACCAGTAATTGATGCTAGATTGCCGATTAAGCACCACAAAAGCATTAAATCAACATGCATTCAACATTCTTAAAGAGGAGTGCTGTTGGGACCGAATGCATTCAACGCCCCGTGCTTTTTTCTCCCAACTCTGAATCTGTATAGCACTAATGCGACATGACGTGAACGAAACACATCCAACCATTAAGGCGAGGTGGGTAACATCCAAATTGCAGTCCTTTCCACTCTGTCACCATGCGGCTCTTACTCAAGGATAGATGCTCCTACTGCGTGGACTCAACATCCAAATCTCTAGATGAAATGGAATGCAAATTTTGTGTTCGCCGTTGCGAAAGAGGAGTTCTCAGTCCTTAGCCCAGTTCCGTTCAACCACATCTTTGAGCTCAGCACGCCCATCTCCACATCCTCCTCAGCCACCACCTGGCAGTGACCATCTCACCCGAACTCACGGGTGTTTTCGGATGCTTTCCGCCCGATGCGACCGCCCGGTCGGAAAGAACCTCGACCTCTGACCGAATGACCGAATAGAGTCAGAGAGCAACGAAGCACCGAAGTTCCACTAGCTACTGCTACGTTCGTAGCTTGATTGTTACTAGTATAATCATAGTAATGCCAGGAGCTACGTTCGTAGCGCCCGATCGCTCCGTTCGCAGCGGTGCCCTTTGTTACGTTCGTAGCTTCTTAAGTACTATTCGGAATCGCTGATGGCACCCAAAAGAGTTTCGCTTGGGAATTGTCACCCGAGTTTCATCCAGCTTTGCCGCTTTTTGACAATCGAACAGCGAGGCACGACAATGACAAGAACAATCCTCTGTGCAAATGGAAATCCTCTGCAGAATTTGTGTGCCATTTTCAGGTGCTTCCGAACAACTCAGATTCACATGATTCACACCGATACGACACAAAAAAACTCCACCCTGCCTCAAGAGCCTTGGCAGCCGGACGTTTCAGCACGGCCGCCTCCTGAAAGCCGGGCCAATGGCCATGACGGAGAGGGGGAAAGAATTGCAAAAACTAGCAGGATCTGGAATCTGAGTGTTCTTGAGTTATTCAGCATTAGACATTCAGCTTTTGACAGGACCGGTCAGCTTCGCTTTTTCAAAGTAAAGATGCGACCAGAACATGTTTCTTCAAAGTGCTTTGGCTAATGTGGCCCAGCCACGTTTACCCAAGTCACAGGTACCAACCAGGTACAAACGTTCTGAGTACTGAGTAGTCAAAAGGATACCGAATGTCGGTCCTATGACTACCCGGAATTGAGAAACTATATATGGAAAAATAGTATGACTCAGGCAACTATGTGCGTTGTTGAGCCAAGTATGGAGAGTCTTCTTAACGAAATACATCATTCAAAGCATTGAGTACCAATTGTGTTTACGGATCGCGAGATGATGTTAGGGCAGTTCTGGAAAGCGTCTGCTAGAAGCTCAGTGTTGTGATCCAGGAGTGTTCAAATCCGCTTGGCATTGCTCCAACTCCGATGCTTTGCAGTGTGGCGGACACCATGCGTAACTGAATCGTGATTCGGAGAGAGGAGAATACTTCCGCTCTCCTCATCGCGGAGTAAAATATGATCCAGGAAGATGGACATCTTGTTGGTTTCACGGTTTCACGGGGTTTCACGTGTGATTTCATCATCCCAATGCAGTTGATTCTTGATACTGCGTCTTCTTTCATCTCATGAACAATGATGCTGTTCCGACTTCCAGAATTAATTGCAATTCCTCATCTTGGTGATGGAGAAACTGATGGACATGGCTGCGAACGAAGGCGGGAAATACAGATTATATAGACATGTTTTTTGCATGTGAAAGAAGAAGGTGCTGCCAGGAGTATGATGTGATACGGGTGTGTTGCTTATGTAAATTTACCCCATTCAAGGTTGTCATGCAGGATCCAGTGAGGGTTCGGGAGGGTTTGCTTTTGCTCCGGCCTCGCTCGCACCGGTCACCGTCATCACCCTCTCAGCGGGGTCGGCCAGTGCCTCAAAACGTTGAGACCAATGAAAAGGGTGAGTGGCGATGATGGAGAACATCGAGGATGGTTTGTTGGAAAGGTTCTGCCAGGATTTAGCGTAGAGGCATTGAACACGTTCTCCTGGGTCCATGTGAGCCGTCGGGAGTGTAGATGGATAGCTTCAAGGTTCTGACCAACATGTGGATTGGACATGGTTTTGAAGGTCCAATGATATTGTATATATATACGGTGGTTGATCAATAATCAATAGTATGTAATTATGTGTTCATGATGGAAGGGCAATCCTCCATGGAAACAAGAGCCAACAAGTATCTTTCGCAGCCTCATCGCGAAGCATGGTCCTAAGACTTTAAGACCATGTCTAGTTAACATGAGCTGGAACTATATGCAGCATGACCCCAGCACAAGGATGAGAGTTGCCACAGCTACCCAGGGTCACTTGCAGCATCTGTGCGACATCTGCGCGACAAACAGTATGAGTCCTGAAGAAGGCTTAGAATAGAATAGAGTCAGGCACAACTCAACCCAAGTGCCAGCTACCAACACAGGGTGATGCTTTTACAACGGCAACTACACGAAGCAAAAGACGTCCTTGACTCAGTGAAAGACATCTTTTACTTGGCAAATGGTAAAAGTAAAAGACGTTTATACTTTATACATATATGGTGCTCTGGTGTTTGCAAAGACATGGCCCGAAGTCTCTGTCAGCTACCACTCCAAAAACATGTGCCTGTAAATTGTTAATAATTAAATTGCTTGATTACATGGCCCCATACGCACCACTAGCCACTAGGCGACGTTGTGGTGCCACTAGGCGATTCGGTGACGTTGTGGTTCGAATCCCCCCTGGACATGTTTTTTCGATGGATACAAGCTTCCAGGCTGCAAAAAGCGTGGGCGTGTGCGCATTGGAGCGTAGGTGCTGGTCCCGCTGCAGGGTGTCGTTGCGCTTGAAAGTTTGGTTGCATTGTGCCGCTTCTCTGTGCGTTTCGGAGCAGGGGTACAGCAAGAGGTTGACAAAAACTGTCCACAAAAAGCGTCCTCTCCAGTATCTCTAAAATCCTAGCCCAACCCCAGCATCTCTACCTTGTGAAATCCTACAGCTTTAGTAAAATCGTGTAGTCTAACGTGTTTTTGGAATCCTGGCGCCTAACCTTGAGCAAAAGGATTTCAAAAAAGCCACATTTCTGGTGTATTTTCCTGGGGTCCTACCTGACTTCCTTATTTTTGATTTGTTTTCGAAAGTTATTTTTTCTGAATTCTGGCCGTCTACCCCTAGGATTTCAGTATGGCGCAAGCAAGGGGGATCTGAGAAGGCATGACAAGCCTGTCAGAGCTGCAGGTCCTTGCCTCACTGTCAGGGCTGTGCCAGGGTGATGCAGTTACAGTTTGTGAGCTTCCTTGGAGAAAAACAATCCTGCATGCACTTCCAGGGCTGTGCAAGGATAAGTTAAGTTGTCAGGTTACTAGTCTGTGACAGTGGAGACTGGAATCAGGGTATCCTCTACGAGCTGCAAGGGCTGGGCAAGGAACGTTGAGGCTTCAGTTCGTTAGTCTGTGACAGTGGGGACATGTGGAGACACTTCCGCCCACCGGCTCTGACATAGGATTGCCTTGCATTTCCACCATTTGTCGCTCGGTAGAAAGGAACTAATAGAAGACCTCCGATAAATCTTTCGCGAGAAAAGTCATTAATATACTTGTCGGAACTTTTGCGGATGGTTAGGACAGCATTTAAAAGGTCGTTTTACATAAAACCCCTTACACGGACATAAGATCAACTCTAATATATTATACTAATATTGCCATACAAACTATAAACAATTCGCTGACTGCTGTGGGATCCTGTATTTGGAGCCAAGCAGCTATTCTTATGACTCAATTTAAACAGACTCCACGTGCATCCTTCCTGCTGCGAGTACCTCATGATCCGGCATCAAGAAAAAAACTATTCCATTTGACCTCACTGCTCCGACGTCCGACCTCCGAAATGGACCCGTCTTGCGCTCTCCCTGGGGCACCGGGCGACCACCACACCGCGTACCTCCTCCTCTGTCATGTGCTCCAGGTCCCCGTCCTCGTACCTAGCTGAGCAGCTCGGAGTGACACATCTTATGGGCCTGAAAGGTTGGGGTTGGAGGCCATCGCCAGTAGGTCGGAGGCCATCGCCAGTAGGTCGGAGGCCATTGCCAGTAGGTCGGAGGCCATTGCCAGTAGGTCGGAGGCCATCGCTAGTAAGTTGGAGGCAATCGCTTCTAGGTTGGAGGCCTTCGCTTCTAGGTTGGAGGCCATCTCTGTTAGTTTGGATGCCATCGGCCATGGCTAGTAGCTTGGAGGCCATTGCTATTTGGTTGGAGGCCATCGCTATTAGGTTCGAGGCCATCGCTAGCAGGTTGGAGGCCATCGCTTCTAGGTTGTAGTAGGTTGGAGGCCATGATTCTAGGTTGGCGGTTATATTGGGTTGAAAGCCATGTTTGGAGACGATTTTGAAGCTTGCGGTTTCTTGCTCGGGGTGCTTGCTGGAAGTCTTTGTTACTGATTTTGTCGTCAAGTGTTGTAAGCAAATATATTAATATGTTAGCAATGATATTTTCATATATTTTCAATGTCTTTCAGATTCTGCCGTTGTCGTTGTTGCTGCGGCCACTGATATCGCTGCTGCTATGTTCGATGTCTGGTCTGAGGGAATCAATGTCCCTGCAGCCTTCTGATTAGGTCCCCTGCTTGACTGTAATCTTGTACTAAAAGCCAGCCAATGTTCTAGAATTACTTTCAAATCTTAGTGAATTTGGTCCCAACCGCAGCTTTTGCAGGACACCTGTGTTTCGCGCCAGTGTCTCGCTCCACCACTGCCATCCGGCTCCACCGCTTTATGGGAACCCCGACCGAATGCGATAGAGGCGATCCCGCGAGATCTGTCCGACCTGACGTCCGCCGCTCCGGTGCCGTTCCAGCGGAAGGAGGTCGGTCGCTGTCGCGCATCGCGACATCGCGAAGTCAAAACGAGCGCGTCTACGGTGTTCCTCGGGGTTTTGGGTGAGGTGAACCCCGGGGTTCGGGTTCACCGCTGATGGAAGTGAAGTACTTCTGGGTCGGGATGAACCCGGATTTCACCGGGTCGGCAGGGTGTCTGGGACCCAATACGCCAGGACTGTGGAGAGAAAGAAAGTAATCAACTCAACCAACTCTCTACATGTGACATATAGTAGATCGTAGATCATTGTATCACCATGCTGGACTCGCATGTATCGGGTCTCATCCATGTCTTTTGGGTCGATGATTTCATCTGCATCACTGGGGAGCAAGAAGCTACTAGGGCTCCTGGCATCGCTACTATAGGAGCATTCTTACTACTATAGTAACAAGAAGCTAAAAGGAAACTAGATAAGCTCACTTAGGTGGGAAGCCATGGTAGCCTCACTTGCTAATCGCCGCTTTTTGATGCTTCTTGACCTTCAAAGACGATAAGAGAAAAGACAGTGCATTCTTAGGCAAAACAAAGGAAACTAATACCCGTGATCACCCCAAAGTTTGTCTGCTTGGACTGAATGACCACTCACAAGTAATTACACAATGTAGTACACAATACAGTCTTAAACGGATGTTGTTCTGACTTTGGGGGCACTGGTGTTACCTGCAAAAGAAAACGCACAAACCGCACGAAAAGGACCCCAAACATCATGTTCAGCCACCAGGACCCAGAAGTTGAACTAGTCACCCGAAATCACTTTCCCACCATGGTCAGGTCATCTGGTGCCTCGATGTCCTCAACCACGCCCTTCTCCAACTGGCGATGATGTGCGTATATAAAAGGGGGGCAGTTAGACCAACGAGCGAAGAAACGAGCGAAGGATCATGAAGGATCAGAAAGGATCCAAGTCGACAGGATCTAAGAAGTTCTGAAGTGAGATCTTTCAGTCTGGACTCACCCGCCCCTTCGATAGGACTTGCAGGAGCTTTTTTCTGCCCGAGCCCAAAAAAACATGCTCCGCCGATGAAAAAAAGGTCAGCCTTGCAGCTTTCCAGGTCAGGGGGGAAGTCTAGCCTAGCCGGCCTAGCCTAGCTGAGAAATAGTGGGGAATGGATGCATCGTCCAAAGCCTAGGTACCTTTCGGCAAATCAAAAGGACCATTGATATACCACTGGTATTCTTCTGATGATGAACCATGTGGTGGACAACTGTCTCCAAGCGAACCATGCCCAATGTGCTCTACTCAAAGCACATTGGGCTTGGTGCACCTGGAGACGGTCGTCCACCGCTTGCAGGGCTGGCAGGTTCTCCATCAGGCAGGGCATTTCTCACCCAACACGCACATGTAGCTCACAAACATCATTGCTTTCAGGTCTTCCGTCTCTTGCTTCTGCTTCTTCGTGGCATCCACCTTCTTTCTGCGCACCAGCCAGGAAGAACATGTAGGCCTCCAGGACCTCGCCCACACTGGTGCTATCTCTGGGCTCATCCTGAAGCAACTCTCGGTCAGGTGAACCGACAATAATTCAGCATCGTTGGATTCCTTCAGCTCCGCCACACCCATGCGCTGGACACTGTCAGAGTTCAATGCCCTCAGGTGCTGACTCTTCAGCTGTTCCTTCAGGTCCATGCTGCTGCCGGTCCATGCCATGCAACCACATGAATGTCCAATCAACCACAGAGTTTGGGCCTAGTAGGCCGGTCTTCCAAGCACATCTTCATCCATCGTTGATGTCTTTCTACTTGGGGCATCTGCGGGAAGAAACGGTGTCTGGACTTAAGTCACAACAAGGTCTGAGAAACATGGTCAGGTCATTTGTGGATAATGCATTGTATCATTGAACGGTTGGTGGTCCAACTGGGATCATTATCACCAAGGATGAATCCAGCGACTTTAAGCTACAATTAATGTTCAATTGTGGACTGTGTGATCAAGCTGCTGTTCTCAGGCTGCCTTCCCGTTGATCTTCTTGGCCACTTTGGCACGCATGAGCTCGTCGTTGTTCTGTTGCAGGCAGGCCAACAGCGTGGAGAAACGTGATGAAACAGGGATGTTGGCATCTCGATGGATCAAACGTGATCAAAAGCCATCTCGATAGAACCTGTTTATTCGTGAGTGCCAACACATTCTTGGAGAGCAAATCAGCCTAGCTGTTTGAGAAAAAGAAAAAACAACAAGGCGCCAAGTTGGCCCCAAGGGATAGCACCATGTCCCAGTGCGGCAGCGTTCGTTCTCCACACGTGCTGGACACGTTTTTGCTTGCCTTCGTTGCGTTATGAAATCTTACGAACACTGTAGCACTACCCAAATTCATGTCATCATTTATTTGTGCTTCTCATCATCCGACCTGAGGAAGCATGTTTCTCGTTTGCGCCATGTTACAGTCAGAATCTCAAACATACACTGACCTACACTAGCCCGTAGGAGTCTTCCAAGCATTGTTTACACGCCTCCCGAAAAGGAATCAAAAACTTGGCGTTGTCCCCCGGAACTATTCCCCAAGATCGTGGCCTTATCCTCATCTGGCAATGTCTCAATGGCTTCCTCCTTCCAACGGAGTTCATTGGACGATGCAAAGTGACAAAAACAATCCAACAATTTCCATTTATGAACCTCCACTAAAGTCATGAGTCATGTCTTCCATGAATTACTTGTGTGATTGGTCAGGGGCCCTTTTTGAGGGCTTGGGACTTGGGACTCTGCTATTCCGGATGACAGATTTGGCCAATCTTCGGGGGAGATCGCAACACAGTCACCTAAGAGCAACAAATGTTCCCCCAATTGATGGAGGGAAAACAGCACCTGCTGTCCCTGGTTTCGATGTTCTCCCAGCATTTCCACCGCATCCTCTCCTCATCCGCCTCAGAATCTGGGCAAAAGGTGCATGGTTGGTGTACATGAGTGGGGAAGTAGGCGCGGTGCACATGTGCAAGTGGTGAATAGATGGCAGGGGTGTACTTTCTAAGAAACTACAGTAATCGAGTAATCGGTATATATAATGGTACCATGACCATGTGACAGTTCCTGAGGGCCCGTTGGTGGGAGTGCCAAATCAAAGATACTCCGCTTCCTTTCAAACGAGCCAAATCCGACCCAATCTGTGTGCTTTGGATCCTGGCGCCCCTGGGGCTTGAAAACATTCACAACAAAACTTTTGCTGGACTCTCCTCCGCATGGAAGAGGATGTTCATCGGCCCCTTGCAAGACTACAGGAACCTGACAAAGTCATCCCTCAGTCATCCCTGGTCACTGTTTCAATGCCACATCACCATGGAACGCTGATACCTAATCAAGGTTTGTCACCAAAAAGCCGACCCAAAGAGTGCAAAAACCAATGGAACGCTAGACCGGAAAGAGTGTGGGTTTGATTGATTTACATCCGCTTCCTGCGTGTCAATCCCAATGGAGCGCTGTAGAAATTCTGCCACCAACTTTAGACACATCAGTCAGGTGACTCGACTGTACTGGGCTTGTCGTGGCTTTACGATGAACCTGTGATTCTTGGAGAGAGGGTTGCTGGTCGCCGCAGTATTGTCCCACAATTGACAGTTCTTGGACTCTCGGATGTCCTTAGGTACATCTCCAATGCTGTAGGGCTTCTTTACATCCATCGTTCAACCTACCCAAAGTCAGCTTCCTTCGCCTCCATGTCGACGCACTAAGGCCCCAGGCCATAGCAAGCAAAAAATATGGTCGACCTCCCCCCCAAAAAAAACAACGCGACAGCCTGAGCCTGAACGGCGAAGGGTGAGACACCCGCATCAGAACATCCCCGATCACTTGACATCGCATGAACTCGTGATGATCTTCGTGGGGTGCTGCGGTTACATGGAGACCATCATCAGCGGCCATCCTGGAGACCAACATTAAGGATCATTTAGGATCATTAAGGTTCTCCCTGTCTGCACTCTGCACCCGTTTCCTGTGAAGAATCTCTCTGGATGGTCCCAGGCATGATACATTTCCGGGATGTGGTTGCTTTTTGTTGTTTGGTCTATGAATAGGACATTGCGTGAAAAACATAACAATCATATACAAACATATACACAGTTTTCCATGGTTTTCCATATATTATCTTGGTACATGTTCTTATCCGATGCCAATAAGAATCACAAGAATCACAATTGACATGCAAGGGGCGGGACATCGACCAAAATAGGTCAAAAAGAGGTGGTGGGAATGGCTACCGCAGGAGACCTTGAGGTTCCAAGATTGCAAGGCCAGAACACACCTTCAAAGAATCATGATCATCCACCAATTCTCGATTTGTTCAACCATGTTCAACCTTCTGCATGCACATCCTGCAGCCTTTTTCCATCTGCCCCGATTGAGGGCAGGCTGGAGCATTCTGTTACCTCAGAGGGAGATGGAGCCCCAGGCACATGGCTGGAACTTATCCCTCGTCGTCCCTCATCGCAACTTGAAATCCTTCACAACTCGCAGTCACTGATATGATCACTTCGATTCAGTACCTTCGCTTCGCTTCTCATTGATGTGCCCTACCAGTACCAGTGGGGATGGGAGTGCAAACTCGGGTCGGATGATCCGTCGCCCAGCTCGTACAACATGGCGGCATTCGAGTTCAGAAACATGAAAGGTCGCAAGCGAACGAGTGAACCACGTAACCCCCCTATACTGCATGGTTGTGGGGATCTGTTCATACGAGGTACAACGTAGGCTTCTTGCGTTCCACAAAGACGGTCATAGACTCTTTTACTGCTGGGTTTTTCAAAGTCTACCAGACTGCAATGGACGCCGAAACCTACAGTAGCGGGCATCCAAAGCATCCGAAAGGCTACATGGTGCCTTGCTCCTAGTAGCTTCTAGCTACTAGTGTAATGCCAGGAGCTACTAGTAGCTTCTTGTTACTAGAAGTAAGGTGTCTGGCTCCTAGTGGCTTCTAGAGGCAAAACAATCTAGGCCAAAAATGACGAGCAAGAAATTTACAGGCAGTTGTTCCGGGCTCACAAAGTCCTCCTGGCCTCATTCGAGGTTCCTCCTTGCGCGTTCCCGTGCTTCCAGGGCTTTGAACTCTTCCCGTGACAGCCTTGGCGACAGGCTGGTGCCGTGGCAGTTGAGCAGGAATCGAATCCAGATCACATTTATCCAAATATGAATCAGAACCTCTCAATCCGGAAGTTGGACCCGCAAACTCAAACAGTCCCAAATACCACAGTCAGCATGTAAAAGGATCCCTGGACGTTAAAGGAAGTTCCCTATCTTATGAGTTCCACTCAGGCTTGCCTGTTTTCCTGCAAAGCAGTGGCAAAAACAAATCGCACTCGCCAGCCATGATGTCCAATTGGAGATATACCGTAATATATAGAGCGGTCAGTTTGGTATCATATACCCATTGGTTGTTCACTACTTAGTATATCTTGGTATCCCCTCTAAAAGGCCATCTGCTTGCCAGAGTCTATTGACCAAAGGACTTCTTGGAGCAGCTTGGGAGATCAAGCTAAGCAGTTTTTATGACAGACCATGTGCACCAAACATGTCCAAGTTCCTGATGTCTTTGATCGCCAACCCACACAGAAAGTGACTCTGTAGGAATGCCAAAGGACACCACAGGAAAGAGGATGAAAGACCCATGGAATCCAAGGGATCCTGTGACATCACCCCTTTGCTGGGTGGTTGTTCAGCACAATCTAAGGATTGTTCAACCACACAACAAAGAATCACCAAAGAACATCTGACACAAACATCACTGCAGTGGAACCTGTGAATCGTTCAGCGCTAAAAACATGGACGTGTAGCTCAAATAGCGAGACCTCCCAGGCAACAACCTTTGGAAGCTTCGGGAAATGGACCACCCATTGTGGCGATGAGGGGGTTCTCCCTAGTAAAGCATCCAAATCAGTGTCCCAGGAGTCACATGTCGCTCGGGGTTTTCAGTCCCCATCCAGTGAGTGGAGGTGACAGGGGCACCCCGGACTTCCTCCGTTCGTTCGGCACCCCCGTCTGAGCCGTTGGACCGTGCCCAGCCCGCTTCGACCGAGGCGCAGCCCGTCGCCGTCCGCATCTGCGGCTCCAAACCTCGGGGGGGGGGGTCCGTTTGGGCCGAGCAGCAGCGATGGAACCGGAGGAAAGCGTCACCGAAACAACAGCCTCAGCCTATATGCAAAGCAACAAGAATATAAACACTATATATACCGCATTATACCGTATATAATATATATATATTATTATATTACAATTCAATAATATCATACTATGTCTATGACTGCCTGCAGTCTATGACTATCTATAATCTATATACTATCTAGTCTATGACTATCTAGTCTATGACTAATCAAATGAGTTCTGATGAGTTTGAACTGGCGGAAAAAAAAATGCCAACGTCCGTCTAATTTGCTGAGTGCAAGACTCACAACTATACAAAAAAAAGGACGAGTCTTCCCATGTGGATTCGTATGGATTCGTCCTTGACAAACATAAACCTCGAACATGCACATGCCTTTTTGACCCGCCTGGAAGATCATGATTGTTACGGTGACCCCCTTCCAGTGTTTGTTTTCTCATGGTTGATTTTTCTTTGCACTCCTGTGCACTCTCCCCGAGATTCCTGGAAACTGGTATGAACCTGTCACATACAAGCATGTTGAACCGACACCGCATCTAGTTGGGCCCCCCAAAAGTGGAACAAAACACGGAACCAACTTTCTTGTGAAAACAAGCCCCAACACGGAAAACTGTTCAACTAAATAGCGAAACAACCTTTTCCCGGACGTTCGGGCCACGGCCCATCGAAAAATCACTCCTGGCCACACGATGGAGGGCACCGAATCGACTTGGCCTTCGATGATGCCGCCTCTCAGCCTGCCGAGGGGGCTTCCAGCAGAGTGCTTTCATGGGTCACCAAAAAGCACAAACACTCCATTTATACAGTATGTATACAAATAAATATATGCTACCCGCTAAACCCCAACCGAAACTCACCGTGAGCCCACCGGGCAGAAGATTGCCGTGCCGGTGCTGGGTGCTGGTGCTGGCCGTGCGCGTGGTGAAGACAGGGTGCTTGGAAAGCTGGCGAACTGCCGAGCCAACATGGTTGCGCACGCTCTCATTCCAAAGCTGTGGATGTGGTTGATGGAGCTTTGCGTGAACATCCGTAGTGCCTGAAGATGATGTAATAATAGAGTTTGACACGTGTTGTTTTGGAAGCGGATGTCGAAGGTATGCCGCTATTTGAAACTGTGTCATGCTGGCTGGGTTGCCAGTGCTGTTGGTGCTGGGTAGGCTTTTTGGCATCCTGGGTTAGTAGGCTTTTGGTAGCCAAGCATGACAAAACGTGACGTTGCTTTTGGACCAGAAATGGTTCGACTGAATGAGACCAATTCGGAGTATGAGCTGGCTTTTCAGCAACCCGTCGCCCTGAAGAGTCGGTCTTGGTGCTCGTAAAACCATTGGAAGATAGAGGTCAATACGGTTTGAATCAATCAGATCTATTCCTGAAGCGCCAGGTTCACAAACCATGTTATGAGTCGAAATACAGCATCCCATAGATGGCACGCGCTCTTTGCACATGTTTCCTCCAAACAGCCGGAACATTGGCTTTATTTCCAATGTAAAGAAGGTTCCTGTGTGTGCTTTGGAGCTGCGGCCAATGCAGGGGGCAGTCCAGAAGAATATGTTGCATGTGTTTGTTTTCTGGGGTCTATCCTGGTGTATTGTTTTGTATGTAACATATCCATTACTTATTGTTTTTTGTACTCATACTATACCCCTTTATGTGTTACTTAAACAAATCCCCAACATATGCAACATTTACTGAAAATACTTGTGAAATCCTGTGAAATATGAATATATATATATATATAAATATGCCATACACGGAGTGTCTGGTTAATATGTTCCAATAACCTCAGGTTTCCAGGTGTTTGGGGGGTCCCAGGTCTATCTACCAATGTAGGTGGAGCGGTGGAGCTTCAGGGAGATGCTTCACGTGGCGCAGCACAACAACCTGCTGACTTCTCAGCTTTTCAATGTGCCGGGAAAATACAAGTGACCAAGGGCAAGTACTGCAATTGATTAGATTCCAACACCCCTTTTTTGAACGCATCTCGGTGGAAGTCACTCTATCCTTCTTTAAACACATTGCTTTTGGCACTCGGTCAGCTGGTTGTTTAAAGCTCGTGCTCATCAGAAACACACGAAACACACACCGCTCCGTGTTGTACGCTGCCCCCCCCAACCAAAAGAGAACACCCCGGTGGCAATACCGCGCATGCACCCAAGACCGCCCGGAACCGGCGCTTCACGCCGAACCCCCGGCACTCACCCGGCGCACCCGGCAATGCCACGCTGGATGGCAGCGTTGATCTCTTCCTCGTTGAGCTCCTTGGAGTCGATGGTGCCGTCGAGGTTGCGGTCCAAATGACGCACCAAGTCGCGCACCACCTGCTTGGCGTATCCTCGGTGTTTCTTTTCATTGGTTGGTTGGATGGCTGAGTGGGAGGGCGGATTCTGGAAAGGCCCATCATCTTCCCTTCTGATCATGTGATGTAAGCCCCAAATGCGATCAAACATCACCGCACACGCATCCCTCCTCAGCTTGCTGGGGAATGACAAATACAGACTGACTAAATATGTTTAAAACATATTATAAAGCATTGCTAATAATGTTTCCTCTATGTTCAATACGAGTACCATCACTTTACCTGGATTCTCCGTCCTATACAATTCCTATACTATGTGTTTGTTGTCTGATGATTTAAAGGTGAACAATGGTGAACACATTCGATCTCATTCCTGTTTTAAAGCTTTAGCTGGACAAACTAAACGAACACCCCTTCCTTTGGACCCATACACCCGAGCAAACTGATGAACAGCTGGCCCGACTTCCAGCCGAAGCTCGAAGGACCTTGCTATTGGAGGCCCAATTTTCCTGAGACCAGTCGAGTCGGGCAAGTTGGATGTGGAAAAGCCGCACACTCCCAGGGGGGACTAGAAACATCGACATTTTCCCACACAGGACTGCTTGCGTTTTTTCAGGGCGGTTCGCGGGAAAACGCAATGAAGGGTAGCTTCAAAGCTGGTGCATGCCCTTGCTCTATGTTAGATGAGGACCCACATGTACGGACAAATCGAAGTACCTGTTGTAACTCACCTCATGCCAGCGCCACTAAGCTTAAGGGTCAAGGGAATGCCAGTGAGTCACGACATGCATGTAGTCCGCATGTAGTCACGAATGCACCAGGGATGATCAAGTTGTACATTCTTGAAACAACACTTCGTCCCATATCATACTAATAAATCCAAGTGCCCGGCGCCCGGCCACAGGTTCCAAAGCAGTACATGCCAGTGCAAGGTCAGGGTGGTGATTGGAAGGACAATCTGAAAGATTGTAAATGGTAAATGCCACTAAGGCATTAAGGTCTGGTATCTGACAAATCTAAAACTTCCTTTCTGTCCTTCGTCCTCAATGACTTGCAGTTGACCCACTGGTCTTCCTCCCAACGGTCCTTCGCCCCGCCCGGTCTCCGACGTTCGGATTCTGCGCCGCGGTGCGGAGCCCAGCTGACACGTGGACTCCGAGGTCAAGGTGTATCCGTCGTTGCACGCGGCGCATTGACCAAAGCCGGTCCTCCGCACCGGTCGCTCCGTCGGTTCGGTGGGTTTCCCCAGCCGGGTGTTTCGGACCGCAGGTGGTCGTGTTTCGGGGTGGTTTCCGGACCCAAAGTTTCGCGGGTCATTCTGTGTGGAGTTTCAAGCTGAACCGTGGGTTTTTGGGAGGGTTGCAGTAGAAGTTGGTACAAACCGTAGCCCAATCTGACTTGTATTCGCAAGGATTTCTGCGAAAGCAAACAGGGATAGAACATGATAGAACGAACCTTTGGGCAGTCGCACACTAAATAAAGGAGTCTTCCACGAACCCATACGAACCCCCAAGACATGTACGAACCTTGTAGGTTCTGCGAACTCCAAATTACCATCCACAGAGCGCTGCGAAGGGCAATCCACCCACGTGTGCTCATTGCACACCCCTTTTCGTTTTGCCTTGAAGTCCAGTCAAGGCATGCATACGGCAGCTCCTGGTCGTCCTTTCTATTTGCTAAATCACTATGTCACCTCCCACCCGACTGCGTTTCATCGCGGAAAATCCAACATGAGATGGCACTCCAGGTGCATCGATGAGTGTTGAAGATGCACGTTGGACGTTGATCACTCTTTGCCGGGACCCGATCCACCCGATCCACCCGGCATGTTCCTTGGAGAGAGAGGGTCATATATGAACCCTACACAATCCTACACATGGCCCTTTGAAGTGTGTGAAGATGGATTCAATTGGAAAGCACTTGGAGGAGGAGAAAAAAGGAAACACAAAAAAGAGAAAGAAAACACGCGTGTCGCTTGTGTCGTGACTAGTCAACCCCCCAGGACGACCTCCCCCCCAGTCGCACGATCTTTCGTCCCCCTTCATTCGCCGAGCGTCATGGACATCTGAGACTTGCAGGCCTTGCACCCGGCACCTGGGCCCGGCGTACCTGTGCGACCCGATGAGGTAAGAACGGAAGACGACTCGACTGGTGTTCGATAGTGTGAAGACAAACGCCGACAGTGTGCTTGGTTTATTCTATCTCATGGATCCAAAGGCAGTGTCCTCTCTTGGATATGCCAATCAGAATTGACTTGGAAAAGAGCAAAACAAAGCTCAGCAACCAAGGCACAAGTGAATGGCTTGCAGGTATCATTCACCAAGCCATAGCCATCGTTGCCTCAGATTCTCCAGTACTTTGCAACGTAGGAGGCCGCGGGACCTCATGTTTCCTATGGCTGAAAGGAATGGTTGAAAGGGCTGTGGCGCTTTCATCCGCTTTCGCGTTTTCAACTGGCTATTCATTGTCATCTAAATCAAACATGCGCAAACCAGATACAAAATACAGTGGTTTCAGAGTAAATGACACACACCCAAAGACGTCTTGTATATGGGGATTGTGCCATCTACTCTGAAACCACTGTGTGTCAACGTGTTCATTCCCTCTGAGCTCCCCCACAGGTGTTGCACTGCTGCTCTCCAGTGCGCTTGCTTTGGGGCCGGCAGGTTCGGCACTTCGGACCACTGAAGGTCTCAGACTCGTCACAAGTGAAGGGCGAGCATTGGAGGTCCATGGTGAGGTAATATCCTGAGACCGTGACCGTGACGTGCAGATTCATTCGCAGGTTCACTCTTCATGACGCATAAAAGAACATACTTCATTGTGAAAATGCTATCAAAGCGATTGATGGTGAAGTTCGTTTAATATGAGGTAGTACCATTCTCGAGCAGCAGTGTTGGAAGAACAGCCAAGGGCTTGTTGAATCTTGGTGAATCTGATCTTGAAATAACTTTCGATATGACCGGCGGATGCTTCATCGGTGAAGTCCACCAGGTCATGAGGGGAAGTCCACCAGGTCCCACCTTCAATCCATGTTGACCCTCACATTCCACATTGGAATGATCTGGCTGCACTTTCCCACCCTCACTGAGACCATCTTGTGATCAAAGCGGAACATTTATGTCAAAATCAATCTGTTGAAACTATTGAAACAAACACATCAACCAGTGAAGCCCGCTCCTGGATTACATTGGTAGCACTGGCCATCAGCGCTTCGTGCTTCCTGTTGGGTGCAAATGCGGCACTTCTCATCACTGCCCTCCTCGCACTTGAATGGGATGCACTTGAAGTCCTGGGATACAGGGTTTCTTTCCCACTTTCTGCAGGAGTCCAGTGGATAGCCAAGGTGACAGATAGGATGTTTACTTCCTTTTGTAAGAATGGAGATCAATAGGCATCCCTGCGAACGTAGCTACTCTTTTGTCATCACCAGGATTTACAAGTAAAAATTGGTATGACCCTGGCAAAAGCAATCCCAGCGAGTAAGCCACTCTAGTATACATACCGTACCCGAACCTGCAAATCGGTAGACCAAATTTCTTTAGCCATCTGCGGTCAAAGTCGTGAACCCTGCGGCTGCAATCATCTACAAGAACTGCGTTTGGTACCTAATTATCTTCTGAGGATGTAGCTCGAGTCCTGGCAAAGCAAGTGTGGTGCGTTAGACGCTTGTTACAAGAACTTGCAGCACTGTTTGTCTCTCTCCCAAACTGCCACAGAACACCTGGTATAAGAGTGAGTCTCCATCTTCCAAAGCGCAAAAGGACCGACCGATACAAATCAACGTTTATGCCCGGTCAGCTCATGGGCGCCCAAACGAGAGCGCTCAATGTACAACGTACGTCGTCACTTGACCCCCAACGATGAACGGTGCAGACGTCGCACCAAGGACTAAGGACGCCCTCCGGCCACTCTCCCTGATCCGAGCCACGTGAGTGAGCTTGAATCCCCGGTTGCAGCTGAGACATTGATGGTCTTCAGTGCGGTTCTGCAGCAGCTGGCAGCTCTGACAAGCACTGCCAGGTCCAGTTGCGCCTTAAAGTTCCAAGGCACTGGCACTCTAAAGCGACATCACACTTGGTGGGCCAGGTCAAAAACCCATGAATGTTTCGACATGTTTCGCAGGTTTGTAGCTTGATGTAGCTTGACGGAGGGTGGGTAGGGGGGGGTCAGTGGATTCCAAATCTCCCGGTGTTCTCCGCGACGGTCCCGGTGTTCGCCAGGTACGCCAGGTACGAGACTCCCTCGCCGAGGGTCAGGAGAAGGCTTGGCAGCGACCGTCTAGCAGCTGGAACCCCGGATTGCAGCTCTCGCAGTGGCCCTCCTGGAGGGTTTCAGACAGGTTGGCATTGTAGTGATTGTGCCCTTACATACACCAAAACAAGCACAATATGATACAATATGTGTTCTTACGAAAGCGCATATTCAGGAAGGTTGGCATTGTAGTGACCCACCTGGGGATGATTTGGGCAAGGCTCTACACAACCGAGTCTGCCTGGCAGGGGTGCCTAAAGCGGTTGAGAATCCCATGGCGAACCAGGTGAGCACATCACACGTTCCGATTCACAGATTGGACTTTTGGACTGATGGGGGCGTAGTTGATGTTCAAAGAGATGTGTTCTTTTTCTCCAATTCAAGACATGTTACTACTTCGAAGAGAACGCTCCGAACACGAGCAAACATGACAATCATGGTTCAGAAAGCTTCTGTGAAGCTAAATGTTGTCGTTTTGTTGGGTCTTGTATCGTCTTTCAGAGGCGAGGTCCATCCCATTGCCACTCACAGTGGGCAGGAGCCGATTTTGGGTAGCATCCTTTGTCACCACCAAACACAATCACTTAGCAATTCGCTCTAGCATCTTCTTGGATAGGCTCTTTAGGGCTTCATTCTACCATGCAACACTTATACACAATATAGCAATTTGAGCAAATGGATGCAGCAACGACCAGTGAAACTATACAGCGAAACCTGCAAAGGTATATATAGCATACGTGGCAAAAATAAGGACACAATGGACACATTTTTCTAGCAAAAAGGGCAGGGGTAGAACAACCCATGACATGGGTTGAACTTGTTCACCTCATACCACAAGAACGCCATCAGCACATGGACCTCACCTGTTGATGCTACCTGGGCACAGTGTTCAGTTTATGAAAAAAACTGTTCCATGTTGTTCCTGCTATGTTCCTGTTATCTCCTGTTGGCTTTGCGTTGCACTCTCGAAACCTGTCCTGGATCCTTTCCTCCAAGGCCTTGCACCGCTGGCAGGCCTCTAAGGGCCCCGTGTGGCAGGCGAATGGCTCACCTGGGCCGCCCACGGCATGGTCGGTGGTAGATGGGAATTCACAGGCTGTCATAGTAGAAGCAATAGCACCTGGGGGGTAGTCGTAAGTCGTCGTGGTGGTGTTCCTCGGAGTAGCAAATGGCGGCGGCAGCAGCAGCAGCAGCGATGTTGAGTCGTTCAAGGTTCAAAATATTTGCCTAACAAGAACATTCAATCGGCCAAAAGGCTTGGCTTCTTTCACTGGCATGGCTGCAGCAAATGCTAGTGCCCAGGGATTTCTTCTCAAGATAATGATGTTCGACCCAAACCTAGTGACCCAGTGATTCAGTGATGACTCGTGCGCCACAAGACCAAAGACTGATACATTCGGGTACTGTAATTATCTCATTGATTCCTCATTTGGGCCTTCCGAGTGTTCTGAAGTGTTCAAAAAATAAGGGTTGTCTTTATGAAGTGGCCAGACCTAGAGTGCTGGACACAAGTAAGTACACTCTTGGGAGTACGTGGGAGCACTTCTTAAACAGCCTTTGTCAAGTACAAGCGCAGGGTTTAAGACGCCTCAGTTGGCGAAATGTCAAATCACCGCATGGCACACCGCATTGGAAGGAAGTCACATAAGGTAGAAAGAAGTCCAATCAAAACATGCAAACCCCAATGACACAGCGACGCCAACGCAACTCTTTACAAAACATTGCCTATAGTGGGGAGTTTGCTATTCCGTAAGAATTATGTTATGTGAATCCCACGGTCACATCCATCACATGTATGTTTGCAAAGAAACTGCTCATCTCCTGACGCAACTTTGTCAACTTTTTAGTCAACGTCAGGTGACTGGAGTTGAGGATCCTCTGTTCCATCCATCTTGAGTGGTGGTCACAAAGTGTCGGTTTTAGGATATGAATCAACACATTTGGCTGGAGAAAGGCCGTTTGAACCAGCAAAACCAGAATGGATTTCTTCGCTCAGGGTCGAACAGCTATTGGCTGAGGCAAAGGTGCGTAGAAGAGCACATAGCCAGGGGGTGCATAAACTTTGCTTAATAAGTTAAAATTGGTAATGATAAGTTGTGCAAGCTACCGACCGACCCACACCAACATACGCATCCATCCACCAGTATCAGAACCTCTTCAACACCCTGAACAGGCACGGTCAAGGACAAATTTGGAATCAGTCCTAGATGCAAAGATTCTCGATGAGCCGGAACCCAGGCTTACAGGTTTGACACCTGAGTTGCAGCAAAATGCTCGAAAAATCGAACAAATGCAGAGTCTTCAACAGTGCGCAACAGTCGGATGATGCCAATGGAACGCAAACATTTTACGATGCAGTAATGTATAGATCCATGGTTGCTCATGCAGCATGAATGAGGGTCAAGAGAAGCTGCTTGTAGAGCAGCAAGTATGATTCCTGGCTTATTTACAGAGTGTGTGTGTGTGTGTTGTTTTTTCAAATCCGCGGTGTTGATGACTCGTCTTCAATGCAAAATGTGTCTGATTGTGTATATATATATATACTGTGTATATATATAGTATACTACATCAATCTACATCATATATTATATACTAATATATTCCAAGTAGTGCCTCGTTTGGAAACTGAACGCCTAGAAAACAAAGTCCTCACTCTAAGGAAAACATCATGAAAAGCCCGAAGAGGTTCCTCCACATACCATCTCCAGTGACCCGTCACATTCCCCAAACCTTGTCTGACAAGCTGCAATTTGTGGAGGTGTGGCAACTAGGACCTGACTAGATGCTGAGCCCAAGAAAACCATAGAAATCCATAATACATACTATGGTGCAACCTCCAGCTGGCAAGGCCCTCCTCATCTCAACAAGTTGCAACATCCCTCCCTGCGATGAACCTTTTGCTTAGGTGCGGCGCTGGAACTTTACCCCAAATCGCCCCAACTGTCCCTTCCACTTTCACACCCACGGCTGCCTTCCCCAAGCTCCTCCCTGTCAACCAGGAACTGATGGTCGTCCGTGGCATCGGTTTCACGACATGTCTGACAGTTCTCCAGCTGCTCCAGGTCACCTCAGGCTGTTCACTGCCGCATGAGAAGCGCGGGAAAGAAAACCACAGCCCTTGCCCGAATTAAACAAACATATAAGTGTTCATCTATCATCAACTCTCTCTCTCTCTGTTATATAATATATATATTATTATATGATTATATTATATTTATGTGCCAACATATCTGAGCCCAAAGATCTTTAGACAAAAACACCGGACCCGGCCACACCTATCGCTATGACCTATCCGCTCTGCCACACCCGCACGGTAGAGCCTGGATGTCGCAGGCCTCAAGACTTCTTGTGCATCATGAGAGGCTTGCTTCGGGTGCTACCAGTATCTAGATTGTTCTCTTTCGAAGATTCTCTACACATGGCGTCAGCATCTGACCACCTAGCACCTCCCAAACACCAATTCTAAACATCAAACATTTTCCTCCCCACAAACATGTAAAGTGCGTTATTGTTTGTTATTGTTCGTTGCTTTGCGTGAACGTTATGATCGTTATGGTTCCTGAAGACTTGGAGTTGCCGCAAACCCAAAAAAACAAACACCCTCCTGTCGCCGCATTGACCTGGCACATGCTGCGACAGCTACATCAGCCTGGTGGCAAACAAACTTTCGGCAGGTCTGATCGGGCAAATGCTTGAAGCCCCTTCGGCAGGTCACGCACTGTTGGTCCTTGACCACAGTCAAAGGCTTCATTGTGGGGCAAAAGAGCCACATCCAGCTCCGGTGATGCATTACGTGGTGAGAAAAAATGCTAGACAATACTACTAGTAACAAGAAGCTACTAGGAACAAAGGACATCGCTACTAGTAGCCCCTGGCCTTACTACTAGTAATTACAAAAGGTCTGGAGCCCATCATGTGAGTATCTTGGGTGTTGGAAGCCTCCAGACCTGCACCTTCCGTCCTTGGTCAACTCGCTTCGGGGGCGGCAGGTCGTGCAGCCGGCAGTCGTTGCATCACAGTGGAAGGGACGACATTTGAAGGACTTGGTGAGGAAGTAGCCATCCTGGCCTGAGGTAGATGCAAGAAGCCCAGGTCGGAACTGGGTGTGAAGACATCTGACAAGCCAGTACTGAGAGACAAAAACCAGTTGCGGAGATCAAGGGAAATCCTGAAGGCGCTCCCAAAAAGTATCCACCAGTAGAACGCTGGCCTGCCTGGCCATTATGCAATATTTCCTCAACTGCTTTAGGTTGTTGGCACCAATCTTTCCCATGGCCGTGCCCGTGTTGGCCGAACTCACTCACGTGTCATGCTATACTGAACCCTTGAACAGTTGCAGAACAGCACACCATTCTAAACACCACCAAAGTATTACAGTATATATACATGAGGTTCATTGACAAATTGAGGTTCCATACCGGGGGGTATGAACCAAATTGAGTGAGGGCGATGTCTTCCACGTCAAACCGCCACAACCTGCAAGGCACCGCCACAACCTGCTTCGCACTGAGGGCGAAGCGCCCCCCTTCCGCCCTGCTTGAGACATACCCAAGCTGCAGGTGCCACATTGGTCATCAGCAGTCCTCTCCTTTTCCGGCGGATCGGCGGGATCGCGGTGACAGGCATAAGCCCCCCGACTCACGTCCCCCCTTCGGGTGGGTGACGTGACCTCTCTGACTTTCTGAAATGTCTGAAAGCTGTGACCGTCTGCGGATGTAACTTGGATAACTCAGGTCCTACCCACCATGCTTCTGTGATACGTATGCTGGGGACATCTTGGGGTTTTAGAATGGATGGCTTTGGGTAGAAGACCCCATGTGAATTTCTCTGGCACTGTGTAGGTTTCCCCTTACACCATCCGCGCTTTCTCTGTTCATTCTGTTCTCTGGGCTCCCCCACGTGGGTGGCCCGGCAATCTCTGCACCCAGATAGGCTCTCCACGTCACAGCTATGCGGCACCTGAGACACACTCTCCAGATCGTCCGAGTCAGGACTAGTCGTCGGAAGTGGACCCCCACGGCCAAAGTTCTGTCGTTGATTCGACAGCTATGTGACCCTCATGTCTGCGAAGCCGCGCAATCTCGTGGATCCCGAGACCATGCAAGAACAGCTGCTTCACTTAAGCCAACCACATGAATGTGTAAGAAGGATCGACCCCACATGAAAAGACATCTACCTCTGTCTGTTGAGCCGAGCCTTTGTTGGGTTCTACTCACCAGTAACTTGATCCAGTCTGAGCATATACAAGACTTTCTGCGATGGAGTCCATACTGTATATGGCAAGCGCCGATGGACTCCGGGACTCCACGGTCACCCGACGGATTCGACATGATTCGACCCTTCGGACCACCCGACGCTGCAACATCAGAGACGGTCCCGCTACGTGTCCCTATTACGGCACCACGGGGAATCGGCGTCGGTTGAAACGGGTTGAAACTGAAAAAAAAGAGGGAAAAAACATCAATACTCAGCGGAGATGCAATGTCTTCATGCAGAACACAGCTGCGAACAGCCCAACAAACTCACATGGAGCTTTGAGCTCAGCCAAGGCACACAGCTGTCTGCCTTTAACTTGTAGCCATCGTTACCTGAAAGTCTGGAAATACAATTCAGAATCCGTGGAACAGCTGAATCCGTGGGATGCACCCATGAAAACACATCCATACGGAACTACAGCCAAACATCAGGTCAGTTGTCAGTTCCATCGGGAAACTCATGCTCTAGTGCTCTTCCATGGAACCCTTTTAAGCAACCCTATGTCATGTGGGGTGGTCAATGTTCAATTCAACCGTCAAACACCGTTAAATGTGTGCCTGGCAAACTGATGGTTCAACAAGAGAGTTGTCCAATGAGTTCTTGGCACGCAAGTCGCCACAAGGAACTCACTCAAGTCGCCTTCGTGGTCACAAAATGTCTCAAGGACTTCCTCGAGTTCTTCGTTATACACTCTGACTCACTAACATGGAAGTGGAAAACCCCTTGTTGGTAGAGGAAAGTAGTCTTCCAAGGGACCATTTTCCAAGGGATCATATAATCATCGTAAGGGAGGTCGCTAACGGGCGTATACGCGGGATTGTCTGCTACCCATTGAGCACAAAGCATCTGTGTGCCCTCAGATGTTGTCTTTTCTCCTTCAAGCCTTCAATGAGTGTTGAACTTGGTTGAATACAAAGGTGACAGGCAAGCGGCAAGCCCATACTTAACGTGTCTGCAATGTTCAGAGTGTTTGTAATTTGATGCATCTGAGACGCATCTCTTCCCAGTTTGATGCACTGGGCAGGTTGCTTTAGGGTACTCTGCTCAGCCATAATCTTGGAGAAAATTCTGGTGGAATATGGTGGAATAATATGGAATAATATGGAATAATGCTCTTGCTTCAAGCACAACATGGGGGAAAACTTCGAACCGGGGAACATGACGTTCCCCCGACGCGTTTACGCCAACCCCATCAGAGCTTCCAAGTCAACCTGGGACACCGCAATGTCTCGTGCCAGGTTGCATTCCAAGCACTGATCATGGTCTGTCCGGTCCTGTCTGAGTAAACTTGAAGCAAAGCAACGATTCAGTTAATAAATTACTTCTGATGACTGGGTTGGCAGCGTCTGTCAAGATCTTTGTGTGCAGTTTTAAGTGCACCCTGTGAAGGAACCCCAAATCATTCGGTCACGAAAGTCTGACCCTTTTGCGACTTTCAAGCAACACCAGACTTGCTAGCTGCTCGCTTCTACGATTGGGATCCTTTGGGGGGTTCATCTGTTTGCATTTGGCACACTCCACTCTGCAAATGCTGCCATCACGGAGTTCATGAGCTATTACCATACGCCATACTGGTTTCAGAGTAGATGGCACAAACCCCAAAATTACCTTTAGATGGGGGGTCCATATAAACCACCCTGTCCGCGCCATCTGGCGCCATCTCTCAATCCCTTCGCCCTACCGTCCGTTCGCCCTGGTGGACAACATATCTGCCACTCATGGACCTCACAGGTCCCCCTAGGTCCGGTGTCCTCGAGGTCCTTGCAAACCTTGCAGGCACGACCTGCCACCGGCCGGCATTCATTCCGTCTGACCACATACACAAGCGATGGCGGTCAAAGACCAGGGGAACAGGGCTGACCACCGAAAATGAACAAACTAACAGGGAAGTCAAACTATATTGTGGCGTTCTATGAAAAGCAACACTTGCCAACGCTCTTTTTCCACTGGAGTTGACCTGGTCTCTGGCCTTCCCAATTCTGGCCAATGGACTTGTGGAACTATTGAGATTGACGATAATGATCCGTTCATTCCCAGGCCGATCTGACAGTTATCAGCCCTACACAATGCAAATGAAAGCACTTGCCAAAAGTAGCTTCCAATGCTGCAGCTCGGCCATCGTGTTCTGGCCTTGACATATATAGGGACTCCATTGAGCTCAACTTAAGCGGAGTACTTATGGTTCTACTGATTCCATGTGACACTCTTCAGCATACCACATTGCAGGTTTTGACCCGCAGCCCTATTGAATGACAGCGTTCCATATCTGCCCACATCGTGATTGACAGAACCGATAATTCCTGGCAGAAAGGTCCAATCCGCGCCAAAGATAGAAACAAATGTTCAACAAAAATAGGCGAGACATATAAATATACATATAATACATGGAAGAAAACCAAACAAAGGTGTTCCCTCCCTCCAGGCTGCACGCACACATTCCAACGTTACTCACCTATATTAGCTCAAGAACAGGTGCGATCTCAAAGGCGCTCTTTCCCGAGTAAGGGGTCCAACCATGGAAAACGATGGAGGTTCTAAATGTTCTAACTAGAAGTTCCAACTATACATCCTCAAAAGACAGGATACCCATTAATACCACTGATGACACCATCTTACAAGAGGTCAACGGACAATGTTTGTTGCAAATGAATCTGGTTGGAACAAGCAGTCGTGGAATGAAATGGACATGACTAATAAGAATTCCATGTCCAGTTTGCACTTGCCTAGTTTCCTTTGTTGTCCATATATCGCCATTCCTTTTTCACCATTTCTCCCACACCACCAGGACCTCACCAAACCACCACTCCGATACGCGTCGCGCGTGTCGCCTGGACCTGTGAAGCACTGGAATCGACTTCGACTCAGCTCCTCACCGACGTCGATCGAAGCTATCGCGGATCGGGGTCGATCGCGAGAAAAAAAAAGGAATGCAGGGAATGCATAAATCATCCTAGATCACGTCGTTGCGGCATATCATTAGGATGATCTAAGGTTATTGACTTACAATGGTTATGGTTCACAAAAGCATCGTTCACTGATGGTCACTATACATTTTGCACCTTCAATTCAATCCCTCATGTCGTTCTTCTAAGTCCAATGGTCCCAGATGAGCTTGCTAGATAGCTCTAAGAATATGAAACAAATAAACAGCTCATCATACACCCATCCATCTGACATTGTCGACAACTCGACTGTGGAGAGTCCACCACAAAGTAAAGCCACGACAAGGAATGAAATCCGATGGAATCCGTTTGAACTCAATCTTTGGGTGTATTAATCTTTGCATATCTTTGCTATGGATTGTGTATGATCTCCATCTTTCCTCTGCATTTTGGATATGTTTTGGATCATCCTTCGACTTTCCCAAAACCTTAAGAGCACACGCGTCAGGAACATTCAGGAACCTGACATTGGTGACCGCACATGTTGTTCGCACGTCCAAACGTGAAAGGCGTTCCTCAACGAGTTCCAAACTGCCAAATCGCTGAGAAGGACGGAACATTTCTCCAAGCTTCTCCTTTCAAATGAAGCAACGAAAGTACTTGGAAGTGAAGTGGAAAAGAAGTGACCTACCTTGTCCGATGATTGGATGTGACACACTCTCTCCAGAAACATAACCCTACAAACTGTTGGAAATCAAACAGGGATAGCGGAAATATAGGGAACCTGACATTGTTCCACCAGAAGTGGCACTAGGTTTTTGCCTTATGGGCCTATGGGTGAACGCGAACAAGGACAGTCAAAAGCTAGTGGCACCCCTACAGCCCAGCGCATACGACACAAAACACTATGCCTATGCACATCTTCCCACA